TCTGCCCGCAGTCCCTGTCCCCCCTCCCATGCCCAGACCCAGGCCCCAGACCCAGGCGAGCTCCCAGCCCTTGCAGGCGGGGCGGCCCCGGGTGGGGAGAGGGGAGCTGGAGCCTGACGGGTGCGCGGCTCCGGGTCGCGCGGAAGGTCGGTCCCCTTGCAGCTGTGACTGGGAAGTGGACAGACGCTGCTCTTCCTGCCATTGCACAAGGTCTCCCATCTTGCATGTCACTGAAGGGTGAGGCCAGGCCCTCCTTTCCTGGGGCCGCAGGCCGACGTCTAGCCCAGCCCTGTCCCCAGCTTGTTGGAGAAGTCGCTGCCTCTTCATCCTCCTCCTCCACCTCTGCGAGAGTATCGATTGAGCTGTTTGTGGAGTGCTCGCCTGCAGCCTGGTACTGTGCCGGGTGCTCTCTGTGCCAGGCCTGTTTTGCAGAGGAAGGAACGGAGGCTCAGAGAGGTTTGCACCTGTCCGAGAGCCACAGCAGCGCAGATACGGGCCCCCAGGCGTTTCTGCTTCCAAAGCGGGCCTGCAGGTGTCCCAGAGCCCTAGCTCCTAAAGGGTGGGCGTTAGAGGGGGGCGGCCTCCTCCCCGGTCTGGTCTTTATTCCCAGGAAGCCACGTGGGTTCGTCCCGACCCAGACGCTCACTAGTCGGGAGGCAGGAAGGGGACTTCGGGGTTGTCAGTCAGTCACCCGGCGCCTTGCAGGGCTGGCTTCCGGGGACCCCGCCAGCGGAGTCTGCCTCTGCCTCCTTCCCCTTTAGTGTAGGTTTTCTCAGACATCCCAGGATCCTGCCCCTTCAGAACTGAGGATTACATCCGTTCCGTTCTGAGCCTTCCTTTCCGTTCCGTTTTCTAGGACAAATATACGTGTGTGTTCACCTATGCTTCGCAAGGAGGGACCAACGAGGTGAGTTGTACAAAACGCCAGGTTGTCATACGGAGATGCTCTCCCGGGACAATGGGGTTGTCACAGGTGGTTAACTTACACTCATCGAATTCTTCTCAACCCGTAAACGCGAGAGAGCTCACGTTAAGTAGTGGCGGCAGTTCCACTCGTAATTCCAGAGTGAACGGGTGTCGGGACAGCAGGAGGGACATGAGGTGGGAATCCGCCTCTCCCAAGAGGCTCTATTAGAGGCGTTGCATTTGTTTTCTGTGCTGACTACAAATCACCGTGAACTTAGCAGCTTAAAACAACACCCATTCATCATCCCTCTGTTCTGGAGGTCAGAAGTCCTGGTGGTCAGGGGGGTGCTTCGTAAGCTAAAATCAAGGCGTCAGGCAGCCTGGGCGTCCATCTTCCAGGCTCGATTTGTTGTCAGAATTCAGCCCCTTACAATGTAGGGCTGAGGGCCCCCTTTCCTTGCTGGCCATTTTCTCCACCTGATGGCAAAAGAGGAAGTGAAATAGATTCTAAGCACCAGCGGTCGCAACCTTTCGGACCTCAGGGACCACCAGTGGTCCGCGGATCAGGACCACCGGACCGGGACCACGGGTTGGTGACTACTGCTTTAGACGGTGAGAGCGGCCTCTGCTGGCAGCAAGGACACAAGGGCGTCAGTCCCACAATCACCAAGAACTGATCCTGCCACCACCAGCAGAGTTGGAAGAAGGCCCCAAACTCCAATGGGAATACGGTCTGGCCTTCACCTTCATTTTGCTTGTGGGGGCGCAAAGGAGCAGCCCCGCATACCCAGGCTTCCTTCCCCCCACGTACCTCATCCCCTCCCCTTCGGTAACCACCAGTTGGCTCTCTATATCTCCGGGTCTGTTTCTGGTTTGTTTTTTTATTCATTTGTTTTGTTTTTTTAGATTGCACATACAAGTGAAGCCATGTGGTGTTTGTCTTTCTCTTTCTCACTTATTTCACTTAGCGCAATTACACTCTAGGCCCATCCTGATTGTTGCGAGCGGGAAGATTTAATTCCTTTTTAGCGCTGAGTAATATTCCATAGTGTGTACATACCACATCCTCGTGAGGCAGCCTTGTGTGAGCACGCAGCCGCACGTTGCTAGTTCTGCACCTTCTCTGGGGGGGGCACCCCCACGTACACCGCACTGCCCCTCTCACTCCGCATGGGTCCTGTGTGGCTACCTCAACATTTTGCTAACTCCGAATCTTCATTGGGTGGGGAGGCCCCTGTGGGCACACAGCAGCACTTCACTACCTCTGTACTTGCTCTGTCCAGGGGAGCCCTTTGGCCGGTACCGCAATGTTTTGCGAGCTTTGCCCTTTCACCGGGGGAGGGGGCTCCAGGTGCACACACAGCCCAGTGGGACACCCTGTCATACCTGCTGGGCCAATCTCGGGGGGAGGGGCCCCTGGTATGCATGCTGTGGCACCCTCCTCTTCCTGCTGGGTCTGGCTGGAACTGGCTGAGACCCTGCTACAGCACCCTACAGTTTGGCCAGAGAACCTGGATGGAGAGGGGAAACATAAATAATGGCGCTCACTGGTTCCTCTGGTCTGGGCTTCTCAGCTCACAGAGAGCTTCTCAGCCTTCTCTGTGAGGTGCCTGTGTCTTGGTTGTGCAGAAGCTGTATAATTGGCTCACGGGAGGAAGTGCGCTAAGTATTTCAATTTCATGTGCTCTAGGAGGGGACGAGCTCTGTCCACCTACACCGCCATCTTGGACCTGCTTTTTGAATTACACACTTTAAAAGGGTGAATTGTACAGTATGTGTAAACTAGTAATTTGTTCCTACATGGGTGCTCCAGGCAAAAGGCATCTAGGTGACCATTTACTCCCATTTAATTAACATAAAAATGGCCTTGTTCCCATTAATGAAAAAGCTTTGATGTTAAATGGAGAGTACCAGTGATCTGAGTCCATTATTACTCTTGGGAGGGACTGTAAACCCATTTACTAACAAACTGAAAGTGCCTTAGGCAGCCTGGAACATAAGAGCGGGTTTGCCATTTCCTTTTGGCCAGATTTCCAGAGGCCATAAAAGTTAGAATACGCAGGTAGTGGGGTGTTTTGGAACCAGTTTAAATTTTTAATTTTTTTAAATATATACTTTTACTGATTTCAGAGAGGAAGGGAGAGGAAAAGAGAGAGATAGAAACATCAATGATAAGAGAGAATCATTGATCGGCTGCCTCTTGCACACCCCACACTGGGGATTGAGCCTGCAACCCAGGCATGTGCCCTGACTGGGAATCAAACCGTTACCTCCTGGTTCATAGATTGATGCTCAACCACTGAGCCACTCCGGCCCGGGCTAAAATTTTAATTTTTAAAGGGCTAATACATTCACATCATCCAAAAAGAAAAACATATAAAAAATTCACAGTGTCTTCTACTAGTCTAGTTCCTGCCCACATCCTACAGGTATCCACAATTATTAAAATTCTGTGTCTTTTCTGAGAACTTTATGCCTCTGCAAGCAGGCATGAATGTATTGTCTTTCCTTTTTTTATTTTATTTTTCTTAATATCCATTATTTTTTAGGGCGGGTTTAGGTTCACAGCAAAATTGAGCAGAAGGCGTAGAGATTTTGATGTATCTTCTTGCCCTTCCCCACATGCACAGGCTCCCCTATTGTCAGCATCCCCCACCAGCGTAGTGAGCCTACATTGACACATCATTGTCACCCCAAGTTCATAGTTGACGTGAGGGCTTACTCTTGCTGTGCATTTTGTGGGTTTGATCAGATGTACAAAGATGTGTATCCCAATTGCAGTATCATGTAGAGCAGTTTCACTGCCCCTGAGCAGAGTGGGGGCACCTGAAGCCAAGCTCCAGCGGGAGGTCCAGGAAAGGTTCACTCACTTGGCAGACTGGAAGCAGACGGGCAGCTCTCAGAGCAGCCTGCGCTCGCCAGGCTGTGTGCTCCGGACTGACCCATGTCTTTCTCCTCTCCCCAGAAGTGGCAGATGAGCCTGGGGACCAGCGAAGACCACCAGCACTTCACCTGCACCATCTGGAGGTGAGCTGTGGGCCTCAGCGGTGGGGTGTCCTGGGCAGTGAGTGGACTGCTGCTCTGGGCAGCAGGGAAAGAGAGGGGCAGACACTCCAATAGGGTCCTGCACCCCTACAGTGGCACACGGAGTGCCACAGAGAGAGGACTTCTTTATGCTTCTGCCAGCAGGCGTGAATGTACTCTTACCTTCTTTTTTGTTTTTGCTTTTTTGAGTAGACATTTTTTTTTAGAGCAGTTTTAGGTTCACGGCAAAATTGAGCAGAAAGCAGAGATTTTGATGTATCTTCTTGCCCCTCCCCACATGCACAGGCTCCCCCGTTGTCAGCATCCCCCACCAGAGTGGGACATTTGTGGGCAGGGACCGGAGAGCTCCCCAGGGAAGCGCACCGACACTGAGGCCAAGAGGAGGTTGTGGGGATTGAGGAACTGCAGTCCAGGCAGTAGCCACAGCACCAGAGAGAGGGGTCAGGCTCCCCAGATGCTCACCTGCCACTGTCACCCTCCGTCATACTCATGGTCATGGGCTCCGCCTCCCTGCCAGGGACTGATGTCTTGTTCACCCTTCTGGTTACCCCACTGCTGGTGCCCCCTTGAGGGGGTGGTAAGCTGGGGAAGGGATGGAGGAAAGGGAGTGCATGGCCCTGGGTGGGGAGGAGGGTGATGGGACTTCATGGAATCGTGTCCCTTCTGCCCTGGGCTCTTCTGCCTCATATGTGTCACCTTAAGCAGAGCCAGGCTCTCGAGCATTTGTTGTGTGCCCGACAGAAAGTCCAAGCTGTGTCTTCACCCTCAGTGGACCAGGGTCCACAGATCAACAAATTGGACACAGTGGGAGAGCAGGGACTCACCATTAATGAAAAGAAGTGACGCATTTTTTCTTTATTGAATTTATTGGGGTGACATTGGTTAATAAAATTGTATAAGTTTGAGGTATACAATAAGGACACGACACTTTTTAATGCATTTTTAAATGTTTTTATTGATTTTTAGAGAGAGGAAAGGAGAGGGTCAGATAGAAACATTGATGTCCAGTCAGCTGCCTCCTGTATGCCCCCTAATGGGGATCGAGCCTGCAACCCGGCCTGTGCCCTGACCAGGAATGGAACCAGGGACCTCTTGGCATATGGGTCAGTGCTCAACCACTGAGCAGCACTGGCCAGGCTTAATGCATTTTTTAAATCGTCACCTGATGATATGTTCTTTGATTTTTAGAGCGGGGAGAGAGAGAGGAACATTGATTATTTGCCTCCCATACGTGCCCCGATCGGGGATTGAACCTACAACCTTCTTTTGGTGTACAGGATGATGCTCCAACCAACTGAGCCACCCAGCCAGGGCGACACAGCACGTTTTAATCACACTTGCAGGTGTCACCCCACAGTCTCAGTGCTAAGCAAGCAGCAGGTACTTACTGAGTGCTATTGGGAAGATTCTTGTCTTTCTGCTGCATGGCCCAGGGGCCAGGCGCCCAGCATCCTCACAGGCCATACCCTGCCTGTGGCACATTTCCTGGCCTCAGAGAGAAGTATCACAAGGAAGGAGCCAGGGACCCCCTCATTACAGGGAAGGCTTGTTACAGGGTGCATTCTACCGTGTGCACATCACTGCCTCTCACAGGGTATGTGAGCTACCAGCCCTCGGGGGGCACAGACCCAGGCCATGCAGCCCCAAGGACTCACTGAGCCCGACACCTGCTCAGTGGGGCCACTTGCTCAGCCTTCAGATTTAGACATGGACTGACCTTCCATCCATGCAGAGGTTTTGAGAATCTGGGAGACTCTCTGGATGCCACCTCTTTATCCCTCCCACCTCCCCTCCCACCCCCTCCCTAACACCTTCTCCCTGGCTGCCTTCTCTATTCCCCACCCCATTACGTCTGCTTTTCACACAATGGCCGGTTGGAGCTCTTCGTACTGCAGACATCATCACCCCCTTGTTGGCACCTGTCCTCTCTTTTCTTGTGTGTTAATCCTCACCCAGTATTTTTCTATTGATTTTTAGAGAGAGGGGAGAGAGAGAGAGAGACATCGATGTCAGAGATCACATCAATCAGTTGCCTCCCACACATGCCCTGACCAGGGCCAGGGATCGGGCCTGCAACTGAGGTATGTGCCCTTGACCGGAATCGAACCCGGAACCCTTCAGTCCGCGGGCTGACACTCTATCCACTGAGCAAAACCTGCTAGGGCACCAGTCCTCCTCCCTTGGCTCCTCCCTGTGCTCTGGCCATACTGACCTCATGTTTATTAAATGCCCCACTTGCACCCTCTGAGGGCCCTTTGCAGCAACCATTTCCTCTGCCTGGGCCAGCCCTCCCCCTGCTTCCTAGTTCACTCCTATATTTCTCACCCTCCAGGATGTTGCTGTGGCCCCCATGCAATACCTGGATATTGTTGGCAGTCGATAGAAAGTATTTGGTGAAAGAGCATGAGGGTCCCTGCCCTAGAACAGCTTGCCTTCAGAAGGGGAAAGAGGCTTGTCAATAAACCAGCCAGAAGAATGTTCTGGAAAAGGAAAGGGAATGATGTTGAGGGGCCCCATCCAGACTTCCCAGTCAGCAGTGCTTGGAAACCCGCGACCCTGGGCTGATCCCTCGCCCGACCTTTCTCTGCAGGCCCCAGGGCAAGTCCTACCTGTACTTCACACAGTTCAAGGCAGAGGTGCGGGGTGCGGAGATCGAGTACGGCATGGCCTATGTGAGTATCAGCTGTGCCCTCGGGGTGGGTGCTGAGGTGTCCCCTGGGGAGACAGGCAAGATGAGGAGGTGACATAACTTGGAAGACTGTGGGACACTGCCGACCCCAGTTTGGAGGCGCAGGGAAAGGCGGTGGTGGTGCCCAAAGCGGGACCTGCTGACCTCCAGAGACAGCAGGAAGTGGACACCCCGGCGTCACCCTCCTACTGCCTGCCATCTCCTGCTGGGGCCCCCATTGGAAAAGCCAGCCGGAAGCTAGAGGGCAGGGTTGCCTGGATGCTCAGCTCTGGGACACGAAGAGGGACCGCAAGGGTGGCAGTGGCCCTGAGGCAGGCGTGGCTCACGGTGTGTGTGGGGTGTCACATCCTTGGCCCCAGAGACCTGTGGTTCAGGGCCTGGGCAGTGCCTGACCCCACAGCCCTTTCCAGAGGCCGCCACACTGCAGAGCCTGCCATGTTCCCACCACCCTCACCAGTTCAGGGTCAGCCAAGAGCAGAACCAGCAGGAGACAGGCAGCCAGGTAGAGGGTGTTTGCCAGGAAGTGGCTTCTGCCACAGGGACTGACCAAGCCGCTCTGGAGTCCAGAGGCCAGGGAGGCCGGAGGCAGGGCTGGGTGTGGTTTCTCAAGGGAAGCCTCCGCTCTGCTCCGAAGATTGTGCCCAATGATTGAGTCAGGGCCACCCAGGGCATCAGAACCCTCTCAGGATGGGCTTTTGTCGCACGCGCAGAACACTTCACAGCAGCACCTAGCGCAGTCAGTGCACAGCTGCAGACATGGCTGCTCAAGGTGACACATCAGACACACACCTTTGCACTAATGACTCTCCAGGGTCCCTTTAAAACTCTATTTTAGCTCATTTGAGAGCACAATTCTAATTTTTAAAAATTACATTCAAGAGACTGCTGTGTTTGTCCCATTTCCATAAATTAAGGAAAAATTGAATTAAATACCTTCTTACTAGGATTTGCAGTGAAGGCACGAAGCTTGAAGCCAGTTGACAATCTCTTAAGTAGATTAGCCAGCCACTTCTCCCGGATTCTCTGTGTGCTCAGAAAAGTGTCACCCGGCTCTTCAGTAAAAGCACGAGGTTTTAGTCTGTGCCCCTTGGGAAAGCAAACCAAATCGTGTTCTTTCCTGATTAGGAAAGTTTCCACTTTTTCCCTTTCAGTCTAAAGCTGCGTTTGAAAGAGAGAGTGACGTTCCCCTGAAAAATGAGGAATTTGAAGTGACCAAAACAGCAGGTGTGTAAGGGTGGATTGTGGACATGGAACCCAGATCCTGGGGGAGGTGGGGGAGAGGTGACAACAGAGGGCCCTCAGGGCCAGGCGGGGAGGGACGACAGTTGCAGGGCACATCCGGACTGCAGGCCAGGCATCCGTAACTGTTCCTGTAAAGGGCCCCACCGTAAACATTTTCAGTTTTGTGGGACCGATGGCCTCTGTTGCAACTGCTCAACCTGCCCCCATCGGGCAAAGGGCAACCACGTGTCAGTGAATGGATGTGGCTACGTTTTAACAAAACTTTAATACTTTATGAGCTTGGAAATGTGAATGTCACGTCACTTTCCCGTGTCACAAAATACCATTTTCTTTAGATTTTTGTTAAAATGCCCTTAGCTCAAGAGTGGCGGGCCACACTGTGCCAATCCCTGACTGATGGCTCGTGGTCCATGGGAGAGCTGTGACCTCCACACGGCCTGGCTGTCCTGGGCTCTCTGACCAGGAAAAGCTTCAAGATTGGGACTCCAGCCCTGGCTGGTGTTCTCAATGGTTAGAGTGTTAGCCCGCACACCAAAGGGTCACAGGTTTGATTCCTGATCAAGGGCAAGTACCTGGGTTGCAGGTTGCATCCTCGGCCCCGGTTGAGGCATATGCAGGAGGCAACCAATCGATGTTTCTCTGTCTTCCCGCGCGCCTCTCTCTCTCTCTCTCTCTCTCTCTGTCTCTCTCTCTCTCTCTCTCGGATTAACAACAACAACAAAAAAGATTGGGACCTCCTGACCTCCTGAAAGCCACCCACCCCAGTCCTCTGAGCCATGTTTAGCCACAAAGGGCAGATGCTGAACAGAAAGAGGTGGGGAGCTCTGAAGTTGGGGCTTGGCGTTCCAGAGCAAGGGTGGACCAATGAGTAGTTAGGATAATGGACATGGGAGCTAGCTGGGGAGGGGTGGGGGGGATGCCCTGAGGGTCCTGGGTTTCAGGGGAAAGATGAGGTGAAGGAACCCATGTGGCTATGGATGTCATTAGGCATGAAACCCTGGGAAGAAGATGGCATGGCAGTGCTTTAGGGAGGAGGAGCCTGAGTCTAGATGGAGCCCCGCTTGCAGGCCCTTGAGGACGTGGGGACCATTCAGAGTAGAGGCCAAAGACAGAGGATGTTAGGTTTCGGGCAGACCCTGAGCCCTAGGGCACACAGAATTGCACAGGGAATCAGGGTCTGGCTAGGTGTGGCAGATGGCGTTTGCAGATTCCCTGGCCCTGCTGTAAAAGCATCATGTGGTCCTAGAACAAGTTTGCCAGCGTGAGCAGGAGGTGATACAGCCTGGCCCCACCCCACTCATTTTCAGTGCGGCCAAATGACCATAATTTCCCCACCTTGAACTTTCCTGTGGACTCCCACTGCCCTCAGGAAAGGCCCACCAACCTCTTCATGTTTTTTCTGTCTCTCACCCATAAGACTTTCCGGGCTGGGGTTCTTTCCACATGCAGTTAGCTTTGGGGACTGTTCCCCTGCTCTGCCAGTCCCCACCGGGCCCTACCCTGGCCCAAGAGCGTGTGGGCGGTCTCAAGGGCCCTACCATGCATTTCTTGTTTTGCAGTGTCCCACAGGCCCGGGGCGTTCAAGGCTGAGCTGTCGAAGCTGGTGATCGTGGCCAAGGCGTCACGCAGTGAGCTGTGACCAGCAGCCCCCTTGAGGGCGGCTTCCTCTCATCTCTACTGAAAGGGCGGTGCCCTGTGAGATCGGGCACATTTTTGGCTTTCTAGGGGGCACTGTTGGTTTTCTGCCTGGCTGATGTTGCCCTCCTCAGACGGGTTCCAGGGTGGCTGAGGCCCTGGGACAGAGTCCAGGGGACCAGGAGGTTGAGTGGTGCTGTGCCCCCCCTCCCAGTTCCCCATCTCCCCAGCACCACCGCCACACACCCCCTGCCCCCGCTCTTTTGAACACAGAGTGTGGGTCTGCGCCCACTGCCGCTTGTCGTACCAGGAGAGGCATCAGCACAGGTGGGGGCCGCAGCTTCCTAAAGCCAGCAGTCTCCCTTGGGATCAGGCCAGACTCCGATGCTGATGCCCCGGGGAAGACTAGTCCTGCTGCCCTCTGACCTCAGGTTGACTGTTTTCTTACAACTTCCCCAGGAGACCACCTTCCAGACTAACTGG